CAATAAGAAGGACAAGCATGCAAATAAGAGGAGAGAAGATTGAAAGAACTAAGCAGCACTCAGCATTTGATTTGGTATCATCCTGCAGAGAGGAAAGCAGGTTTAATTTTGACAATGGAATGAGATAGTAAGTCTTCATGAACAGTGTAATGTTATTAAGAGGGCCCTTCCAGAATAGGACTCCATTGTGAGGTCCTTTAAGGAGAGCATGTAGATTGTGAATGAGATGCATTGACAGATGTGGCTGGATTGGGAGTTTAGAGCTAGATAGTGGAGAGACTTGAATGACTTGAGGTTCTTTAAAAGCCATATGGCACATTCAAAGAAGGTAATCGAAGAAAGTTCAATGTGAGATATTTACAGTGGTGTGAGCAGGATTAAGGAAAATTCAGATAGTGAAATACTCTATGACTAGCAACAGCAGGGAGTTCTTATCACCCTAGAAGAGACTGGGAATAGAGGGGTTCAGAAACTTAAAGGAAAAGTGATAGTTATAGTTGTAGGACTGAGTCACCCAGAATGAGTTATGGTCTTAAGGGAAAGCAGTCAATAGCAACCAAGAAGGATACAGTCCACCAAAGAGGAAAGCAAAAAAAAAAAAAAAAAAAAAAAGTGCCTGGGTGGCTCAGTCAGTTAAGCACCCAACTTTGGCTCAGGCCATGATCTCACGGTCTGTGGGTTCAAGCCCCACATCAGGCTCTGTGTTGACAGCTCAGAGCCTGGAGCCTGCTTTGGATTCTGTGCCTCTCTCTCTCTCTGCCCCTTCCCCATTTGTGCAAGCACTCTCTCATGCGCGCATGCACTCTCTCTCTCTCTCAAAAATGAATAAACATTAAAGAAGAAGAAGAAGAAGAAAAATGAACAAATAGCTTTCTCTCTCTCTTCCAAAGGGCAAAACCAACCAGAAGCCAGAAAGCAAGGGAGCCCACTGATCCAGGCAACAAACATCAGCCCCAATGACACAGAACAGGGGTGGAAAAGGATGGAGAGTGGATGTAGAGAGGCAAACAGAAAAGATCCAGCAAAGCCTAATCATCTTTGATAAGAAATTTGGACAAAGGGCTTAACCTTTTTGGTTAAAAAGTTGGTAATAACTGTATGTGAGTAGGACTGTAATATTCCCATTTCAGATTATGAGCTACATGAAAACAAGAACTGTGTCTTCATCATTATTTTATCCTCTGCATCTAGCACAGGCAAGATACAGGTTGTAACATGAAAAAAGAAGTGTCTACAATCAAATTAGATTGATGTGACCAAGCCTCAAATGCCACAAAGAATTTTTGATTATGGTCTTTGGAAATCCACCCCTGTCCCCTCAACAGGAAGAGCAGTAGATGGATGTCAAAATGCATGGTGTGTAACTTTTGAGATCTCTACAATTTTAGTGCAGGGACCAAATCTTAAATGAGTCATCTACTGCAAAAGGAAACCTGAACATAATTCATTGGGCTCTCGGGCCACCAAAACTTTAAAATCTATTATATGGCTTGCTGAGTGTAGGACAGGCCCATAGAAGAAGGATTAGGCCCAACACACTGGCTTCTTCTCCCTGCAAAGAGCTGGTGATACAGGCCACTTTTCCCTGGGAATGAGGAGGGAAGAATCAGGGTAGCAGCCTTGCAGCACAAAGAGGCCTGGGCTTATCATGAGAAGACCTGGTTTCTATAGTCAGACATGCTGAGTATGACTAACACAACTAGCAGTAATTCTCTGGATTACATTGAGCCTGAGCCGTCCATAGGTCAGGTGAAGATATTTCCTATACCCCACCATGTGTAAATGAAACTCCATGTGGAAAAGTGGCTTATATATAAACTAAAACACAGTACACAAGTAAAAGCTGTTATTTTGGCCATTTCTTCCTGACATTCAACAATTGTTTGGCACACAAAGTAAATGCTAGCTTCTGCAAATGGATCCTATACAACTCTCCTTTCTCCAATAAGAAGAGGGTAAAACTGAGCAATTTGGGGGTTAGGAGGTTATTTTCAGACAATTCTTTTGTGAATTTTACAGCACATAAGGAAGAGTAACCACATTTTAAAATTCATTACATTTATTTATTTTATCTCAAAGGAAGTCTGAAAGAGCTTTTGTTTGTTGATTTATGTAGGATACTATGTCAAGCTTTGTAAATTTTCCATCACATGCACATAGGCACTGGATATCTACCTTTTAAGCTGTTATGAATCTCTACAATATGTTAGGACTCAACATCCTGTACTAAGATTCTCAGGACACCTCAACGTTGGAGGTGGGTAATAAAAACTTACTATCAAGGGTGCCTGAGTGGCTCGGTCAGTTAAGCATCTGATCTCAGCTCAAGTCTTGATCTCAGGGTTGTGAGTTCAGGTCCCATGATGGGCTCTGCACTGAGCATGCAGCCTACTTAAAATAAAAAATTTAGCTGTGGAAGATCATTACACTATAGAAAGTTTAAGTATGCTGAATGATAAGGTAAACTACAATATTAAAGTGGAGAAAGCTCTTTGTCAGAAATCTTCAATCGTCTTAAATTCTCTCCCTTTCATATACTTCTACCATCACCCTGTCCTTAGCAGTTAACCTTTGATAATGGCCAAATCTGTTGGACTTGGTCTCTGCTTATATCTGTCTTTAAGAGGCAGCATAATGGATTGCTGGTGGGAATGTAAACTGGTGCAGCCACTCTGGAAAACAGTATGGAGATTCCTCAAAAAATTAAAAATAGAACTGCCCTACAACCCAACAATTACACTACTAGATATTTATCCAAGGGATACAGGTATGCTATTTCAAAGGGACACATGCACCCCAATGTTTATAGCAGCACTATCAACAATAGGAAAAGTATGAAAAGAACCCAAACGCCCATCGATGGATGAATGGATAAGGAAGATGTGATGTATATATACATACATACATACATACATAAATATATATATAATGGAATATTACTCAACAATCAAAAATGATGAAATCTTGCCATATGCAACTATGTGGATGGAATTAGAGAGAATCATCATGCTAAGCAAAATTAGTCAGAGAAAGATAACTATCATATCACTTCACTCATATGAGGACTTTAAGATACAAAACAGATGAACATAAGAGAAGGGAAGTAAAAATAACATAAAAACAAGAAGGGGACAAAAACATAAGAGATTCTTAAATATGGAGAACAAATGGAGGTTACTGGAGGGGTTGTGGGTGGGGGAATGGGCTAAATGGGTAAGAGGCCTTGAGGAATCTACTCTTGAAATCATTGTTGCACTATATGCTAATTTTGATGTAAATTTTAAAAAATTAATTTAAAAAAAAACAGTAGCATGCTGGAGCACCTGAGTGGCTCAGCTGGTTAAGTGTCCAACTCTTGATTTCAGCTCAGGTCATGATCCCAGGGTTATGGGATCAAGCCCTGCATCAGGCTCAATGCTGGGCATAGAGCCTACTTAGGATTCTCTCTCTCTCTCTCTCTCTCTCTCTCTCTCTGTCTGTCTGTCTTTCCCCTGCCTCCCTCCCCCTGACCGTCTCCCCAGCTCATGCACTGTCTCTCTAAAATAAAAAAGTAATGATAATAAAAAATGAAACAGCATAATGTCTTAATATCATGCTCCCTGGTACCAGATTGCCAAGGGCTCAAGTCCTAGCTCTGCCATTACAAGTTGCATGACCACTGGGAAAATGTATGTAATCTCTGTATGCCTCAGCTTCCTCATGTACAAAATGGGAATAATAATGAAATGCTTAAAAGCGTAAAGTTGAACAACAATCAAAACGACTCCATTAATGCTTCAGCGAAGCTCTATTTTAAGGTCACCTCTTTCCGATAAACCTCCTCTCTTCCTCTCTTAGCCTTTGTTTCAGAAAACTGGTGGGGCCCTAAAGACAAGACAGAGGAGGTTGGTAGCACATATAAATTCCCGTCAAAACTGGCTGGATCCTGTATTTCCCTATAAACCCACAGCCCTTTCCTTTGGGCAGGCTTGCAGTGTTTTGAAGACCATAGCCTGCTGCAGCCTCCTTTGCCTGAGAAAGCAATAAAGCTATTGTTCCTCTTTATCCCAAACTTGGTATATTTTGGCTGAAGCCCAGAGGTCAATTTTTCAACAACAGTATCAACCTCATAGGGTGTTATAATGCCTGGCCCATGGCTATACTTTAATTAAAAAATTGCTTGTGATTTCAGAAAACAAATCTTTTTGGCAGTTTTCTGGATTTCTGTGGACATTTCATTTCTAAATAAGAACTTGGAAACCTTTCTAATCAACTGTTTGATGCAAAGTTCTCCAGATAATGTTGCTTTCAACATCTAATGTTGCTTCTAAATCTGTTCGTGGATTATATCAACCACCATGGAAAATTCTCTCACCAAATCCACCAACAACTCTGTTGAAAGACTTACGCTCAGGTGCCAGTACCTCTGCAATAGGAAATTGGGTCACTAACCATTTCAGGTGTATGGGAAATTCACTGAACTTCTTGAATTTGAATGTTCCCAAATTAGGGTTTGGAAATACAACTATTAACATTTTCAGGGACTAGGGCATGCATAAAGGAGCTCAGAGAATACAGGGGTTTTTGAATTCCTTCCTAAAAGGTCTGGAAGACACTTCTATACAGCCTAGCTCCTCTGAGTAGAATCATTAATTCTGCCTTATTACATGCCCAGGAGATTCTCTGCTTACATTTCAAAAAGAAATCATATAGGATGGACAGAAGGATGAGGAGAATGGCCTCTGATAGCACTTTTATTTCAGAGCCCTCATATTCAATAAGTAATGAGAAATCACTGATGAGGTATATATTATGATGCCCCTCTCTGGGGATCACTACAAATTAAAAGGCTAGAGAAGATACCAAGAAAACTGGAGCAGCCTTTAGTGACAGAAGCACTAATGTGGAAGGATGCTGAAGCCCAAGGCTGAGGTTATCTGCTTGTGTAGGGGGACAGCATGAAGACACTTGCCACCACAGACTGCTGTTCCTGAGAAGCTCTAGTCCCCTTAGAAGCATTCATGGCATAGTAGGGAAGAACAGTCAACAGAGACTCAGAAGACCAGGATTTGAGGCCAGTCTGATAAATTCACATAACAGGAAAAGCATCTGTCAGAAATTTGGAGTATAAAAAACATGGATATACAGACTCAGGTATGAAGGTTATATATCTGCTTAGCTTACAAATGTACCTAAGTATCTATGATCTCTGCTGGCTCAGCTTTACACAGAGGAATGTACGATATTGATCTTCCCATTTCTTAATACAGGTGAGAGAGGCACAGAGATGGAGCAAAATAGAGGCTGACAAATTCCCAGGTTTGGGGGAATGGGATATAGACCTCTTTGGAGGACCATTATCCCATCACACCAGTAGTGCATTTGGGGGTGGAGGGGGGCATTAATGGCCTTTCACGGAAAATGGCAGAGGACCACCCAGTGGGCTTCCTGCTGCAAGTCAGGCTCCAGGCAGGAAATGACTGTCCTGTATAAGGGGCCCCTCCATCCCCACAGTGAAGACACGCAGAACCCTACTCATAGCCAGGAACACCACAGCAAAATAGAAGGATTCCGAGAGAGTGAGGTCTCAGAGATGATAAATTAGGCAACTAGCCTTAGGAACACACATTAAGCTAAGTGTCCACAGGAGCTAACTAACTTAAAGACCATCTCCAAGGAAATGACATTAGATAAGAGAATCTAGTAATATAAGCCAGCCCATAATGGGCTAAATAGAAGATTATTCCCTTGGCCACACTGTGTTGGTATTATCATCTATTACCCGAGTCAACAGAAACTATAAAGTGATATCAAATCAATGATCTCCTGTAGGGTCATTACAGTGTCAGAATCCAATACCTAATATATAATAGATGTTCAACAAGCATACAAAAAATATTGAATGAATCAGTGAATGCTATTCTGGAGACTTCTCTCTCATAATTATACAAGTGATTATAATATTTTACTTTATATGTGATATTTTAAAACTTCTAAAAATAAGAACTTGATTTTTAATGAAGATCGGTGGCCACTGTGAAGAACCCATATGCTATATAGGTCAATAAAGTTATATGTTCACATCATGGGATAATGCATATATGTGTCTGGGTGTGTGTGTATAAATATGTTTTCATAGTGTCATTATGAGGAACCAAGGAATGTCTCAATCCTGCCCTGATCCTTAATAAGTGGCTAATGTGTTTGCATATAGAGCAGAAGTTTTAAAATCAGATACCTAGAAAGGGTAGACAAGCAACAAATGCAGAACTCAGGCAGGATGGAAAGCAAAGTTGTTAAGTGTTTTAGAACAAGGCCTGCAGTGGTACTGATGTCACAAGTCCTTGCTGAAAGGACCTGTAACTGTTTAAAATGCTCTGCTAACCAATCAAACTATCCAACAGAATACCTCCAGGGGCTCTATAAACAATACTGTAGTTTCCTTACCCAGATCAGGAGGAGACTGTTGTCTGGGGTCCTCCCCCAAAATTCTGTAATTCCAAAAAGTAAAGAGTTCCTTCCAAGTGGAAGCCAGCAGAGTTACAAGGGAAGCTGTAAGACAGGTGATTAATTCCTTCAAAAGCAGTAAACCGACAAATCTAGGAGAAAACAATCTGCATTGCCTAATGGCCCACTGCAAAAATGGTAGTGATCTATTATAGGGGAGTAGAAGTGGAAAGTAATGAAACTTGTTTTAATTATGACAATATAATTTCTACAAGGTAATAAAGACCATCAGATAAAACAATTATTGAGGTGTAGTGCATGTATGCATGCACATACACAGTATCATTAATTTATTTAATGATACAGCAATAAGAATTACACCTTTGTTTTTGGAGGCGAGAGACATTAAGGATTTTTTTCGCTGTAATTTTGCAATTCAGGATATTTACAGTCTAGGCTCTACATTTCAGATTTTAAATCATGGTCAGAGCACCTGGATTGGCTCAGTCAGTTGAGCTTCTAGACTCTTGATTTTGGCTCAGGTCATGATCTCATGGTTTGAGGGATCCAGCCCCACAAACAGTGCAGAGCCTTCTTGGGATTCTCTCTCTTCTCTCTTTGCCCCTCCCATATGCATGCATGCATTCTCTCTGTGTCTCTAAATAAATAAATAAACTTTTTAAAAATGTTTAAATCATGGTCAATGTTTCTGTAAGTTTTTTTACACCATATAAACCATAAAACAAGATACTATTTTAGAAAATATGCAACTAAAGATCAAAATCTCTGTGGTCTGTGTATCTAATGAAAGAAGCTAGCTGTTGGAGGGCTTTTATTAATTCTAATTTGTCTCCCATATCATTCATTTGTTTACACTTAATTTTTGTAAAAGGCGAAAGATTTATACGATCTGAAGAGAAACCAGAGTATGTTTACACTTAATTTTTGAGCTCCTAGTCTGCTTAAAGAATTGAATTAGACCAAAAGGTTGATTTGCTTTCTATTACCAATGTTTCCCACTGTGTCTTTTCATCAGAGCAAATTGGACTATAGAAAAACTGACAACTTTTCATAAACATCTGATCTTTCAATGATGCAGATCAGTTTCCAAAAGACTCTCCTTTAGGGTACAGTGCAGTGTTTTCACGTCATTTGGTATCTACAGAGACCTGGGGACTGTCTGTTGTTTTTCCTATGACAAAATAGCAAAGTTTTAAATAGGAAAGTTCTACACCTACGACCCCATTTCATAATACAGTGCCTAACAGACTCAGCCTTTGATGTGCCACTACGCGATGCACATAGCTATGTACAAAGTACAGCATTTGTAAAATGTTCTGATTATTATATTTTTAAGTTTTCCACCAGTAACCACTCATGACCCACCTGATCTACAAAAAAAATGGCTTATCTTGAAAGAAAACAAAAGCAAAAACCACAGCTAAACCAAGAGCCCGGACTAGTGTGTTAGAAGAGGCAGTTTCAAGACTTAAGTTTAAACACACACACACACACACACACACACACACACACACACAGAAACAATTAATACATCCGAGAATTCTGCCAGGGTTTTGTAGCATTACAGGGTTTCTCAGCTATAAAGAAACATATTGAATGTTTAGAGCACAGCCCATTCTTCACTGCTTCAGTTGTTTCCTTTTGTTTACAAGTCCCTGCCATCCTTCTTTGTGAATTGAATGCTAAACTATCTCTGGAGAGATGTTATATTGCTTACAGAATGCTTCAGCAGATGGTGCTTCCTGTTGCAACAGAAGGCTGTGATTATACCTGAACTCTTCAAGAACTCTAACACCGAGAAACAAGATAAATGAAAGTCTTGAAAAGTTGTATCTCTTCCCTCACTAGCTAGTTAGAGTCTCACCCACCCACTGGCCCCATTCTGTCACTTCACCAAATAGAAGCAACTGCCCCCGCCCCAGCCCATCTCCTCCACGTGGAGGAAACCCCTGTTCTAAAATGGCGTACACATCCTATCAAGCAGAGTGTGTTTGCGAATTCTTGAGAGTATTGCTCATTCGGATGCCTGGTCACTGTGCATTCGGATATTTGAACGGCCCATTATAAACAATGAAGAAAAGAGAATAGGTCTTCATCAGGAAGTGTCTATAAAAATAAATTGAAATACTGAGAAGGACACCTGGTGCCAAAAGTTCAGGGGTACAGAGAAATTTATCTCCACACATTTGGAGAGAAATTGTCCTTTTCAAAAGACTCTTACGTGCACCCTTTGTGGCACTGCCATCATCTTTGAAGCTGAACAGCACTTCTTGGTGAGTCTCAAGGACCTGCCACTTTATCCCTGAAGCTCTTTTCTATTTTTCTCTTCCTAAATGTCTTTCATGCATTTCTTCCCATGATTAGTTTAGTTCACTGTCCAAAGCAAAGGGTAATTCCTAATTTATCCTGTTCTCCCTCTGTATGCAAAGGGAAAATGTAACAATATAATAGAAGAGGAAAAAAACCCCAAACACATACACACATAGTTACTTCATAAACATAAATCAGAAGAAGGCAGCGCTCCTCTTTGGAACCCTCCTCTCACACAGCATGCTCAAGCATCAAGCCTTTTCTGTGTGTCCCCCCTGAACCCCAGTCTAGCCTTCCATCATCCCAGCAATCAACCAATGAGCCCAAAACCCTTCCCCTACTTTCACACTTATTCTTGGGGCTCTGTCCTCTCATAGAACAAGGAATGACAAAGACTCAGGCAATTAGTAGCTAAAGTGAAACCCAACCTTTCAATGAAATCCATAACATGGAATTTCAGAGATGAAGATGACTGAACAATCATCTAATTCAAATTCCTCATTTTAGAGATGAAACAAAACCCAAAACTTCTATTGGTCTGCCCAAAGCCACAGATGGAGCCAGGACAGTCCTAGAACTTGAATCTATAATTAAGTCTATTATTAAACATAGTATCAGCCCCAGTCCTAACTATGCAAATCTTATAAACACTCAAATCAGTAAAACATTAAACATTTCAATTTATCTATGGATTTGGCTACCTCAGTATGTCTCGCCACAATCTAATGTGCAGGTACTTAAAAAATCAACTGGCAGGCATTACTGAGTGATTTTACTACCAGCTGTGCATCCATGGTCACTGTCAAGGTGGCACTGAGGATACAGTGACAACAGTTACTTATTATTTATTTTAACACAGAATAACAACTTTTATTAATGTTTATGTATATTTCTAGTATATATATATATAGTATATATGTGTATTTCTAGACTTTCTGCAAAATTAGGATTGTACTATATCTTTATTTTTCCTCTTTTAGCATTCTATTATGAGCATTGCCACATCTCAAAATTTTACCCAGCTTTACTGAGGTATAATTGACCAAGAATTGTACACACTTAAGGAATCTAACATTACCATTTGATATACATATACATTGTGAAACGATTACCACAATCAAGCTAATTAACACAGCCAACACCTCACATAGTTACCTTTCTGTGTGTGTGGTGAGAACACCTACAATCTCTTCTCTTCGCAAATTTCAAGTACACAATACAGCATTATTAACTATAATCCTCATGCTATACATTAGATTCCCCGGAATTTATTTATCTTATAAGTGAAAGTTTACATCCTTTGACTATCATCTCTCCATTTCCCTCACCCCCTGCCCCAGGCAACCGCCATTCTACTTTGTTTCTATGAGTCAAATTTTTTAGATTCCACATACAAGTGATGTCATAGAGTATTTATCTTTCTGTGTCTGGCTTATTCCACTTAGCATCATGTCCTTCAGGCTCATCCATGTCATTGCAAATTGCAGAATTTACTTCTTTTTAGAGGCTGAATAATATCCCTGTGTGTGTGTGTGTGTGTGCACGCACGCGCGCGTGTGCACACGCACCACATTTTCTTTGTGCATTCATCTGTCAATGAACACTAAGGTTCTTTTCCTACCTTGGCTATTACTATGAGTAATGCTGTAATGAACATGGGAGTGCAGATAACTCTTCAACATTATGATTTCATTTCCTTTGGATATATACCCAGAAGTAGAATTACTGTATCCTACAGTATTTCTATTTTTAAGTTTTTGAGGAACCTCCACCCTGCTTTGCATAATGGCTGTAGCAATTTATATCCCCACCAACAGTGCACAAAGGTTCCCCTTGGCTATATCCTCACAAGCACTTGTTATTTCTTGAATTTTACATAACAGCCAATCTGACAGGTATGAGGTGAGAGCTCAGTATGGCTTTGATTTGCATTTCCCTGATGATTAGTGAGGTTGAGCACCTTTTCATATTTCTGATGGCCGTTCACATGTATTCTTTGGAAAAATGTCTATTCAGTTTCTCTGCCCAGTTTTTAATTGGGTGATTTGGTTATTTTCTATAGAGTTGAATGAGTTTCTTAGCTAGTTTGGATATTAACCACTTATCAGATATAGTGATAATCAATTTAGATACTGTCACTGTCCTGGTGCAGCCTACATTCAAGTAAGAGAGAAAATCAATTAGAAAGCAAGCAAGATAATTACAGATAGTGGTAACTGGTACAAAGAAAGTAAAATTGTAGAAGGGTGGGGAATGGGGTAAAGGCAGCCCAGAGGCTGTTTTGGCTGGAGTATTCAGGGAAGCTTCCAGGATGGGGGAATCGTGGATCTGAGAGAATGACAGGCTGGAGCCACACACACAAAGATCTGGGCTGGGACAGGCCAAAGAGCCATTCAGTCATGGTCCTCCAAGTAGGCAGGAAACTCTGAAGCAAATGGTGCAAACCACCCACCCCAAGTCTCAACAATTTTCCACAGTTTTATATACAGAAGCTTTATTTAGAATGTGACAGACATCAACTTTCAACTTTCAGGGCCACCTCCATCCGCACCGTCCAACAGAAAGAAAATGTTCAGTGTATGTAAAATTTTCTAGTTGCCATATTAAAATTCCAAGGAATTAAGTGAAGCTGATATATAATATTTTATTTAATCTGATATATCTAAGATATTAACATTTGACTACGTAATAGCATAAAAAATTATTGAGATGTTTTACGTTGTTGTTTTTTTTTTACAAAGTTTTCAAAATCCAGTGTGACTTTTATACTCATAACAAATCTCAGTTCAGACTACCTACATTTCAAGGACTCAATAGCCATCTGTCATTAGTGGCTACTGTGATGGACAGCACAGGTCTACAGAGTGTCTAAAAGTTAGTGTTTCTTTAGAATATATTTTTTAATGAGAAAAAAGCCAAAATGTGTAATATCTATGGGTGTTTTATTTCATTTTTTTTGCTTCTCCCAATATATCCTGGCCATATGCTACCCCATGCTTTAATATTATACTGAGAATATTTAAGAATCACATCTTTTGTTACTTTGTTATGCAGAGATTTTGCCTCCTTTTTTTTGCCTCCTCCCCTTTATCAATTCTATCATCTCAATAAAGTAAAAAGCTTTACACTTTTACTACCCCACATTTTAAATCTTTTAACTTTTAGAATTGTACAGGCCCAGTGTATGCATGTTGTCAGGCAGATTCCATGCCATTAGAGACTGAGCCAATATAAAGGAAGTTTATTATAACAAAAGGCAACATGGCAGATGCGAGAGGCTAGGTTCATCCAACTTGGACACTACAGACCAAAAGGAATGTCTTTCCGGGCATGTTGGAAAAATGTATCCAAACTATAGCCGGCTGACTTCCTGCTGTCCCATGGTCCGCCTGGGCTGCTGACTGAATATAAAAACTCCAGAGTTGCACATTAATAAGAAAGGGCTCAAGTTAAACCATCTGTATTCATCCAACTGCACAATTCTAGAACAAGATACTCTGAAATATTCGTAGAATAAAGGAGAAAGGGTGTTGAAGAAGAGGGACAGAAGAAAGAAGCAGAAAGAAAAAGGAGGGAAAAGAAGGGATATAAAAGGAGTTATAAATTAGGAAACAAATACATCTCTAACTTAATCCACACAAAAAAAAAAAAAAAAACCCGTGTTTACAGTATTGCCACCAGTCATCTCAGAACCACCTCTAAGCCCTGGATACTTAGAGACCCTGATCTGTCATTCTTTCCACTATTAACATTCTACATGGGGAGATAATAGCCTGTGAGTCCAAAAAGATGGCCCACCAGGAGCTGTGCCTCCTTCCCACTTCTAAACCATGCTGTCCATATCCAGAAATACAGAATTTCTTGCTGCTAAGACCTTCACTTGTCTGAGGGGCTTCCGGGGACTTTTTCTTATGTCTCTACTTGTGGTGATGTCCTGGACAACATGAGGAATGGTTGAAGAGAAGCTGTTTGTGTGGAAGAATGTAAAGAGAGCTTGATAATTGCAGGCTGGGGTGCCCATCAGTAACACACAATACCTCTCAAGGTTTGGGAGGTTGTCAAAAGTCGGAAGGGCAGGGATCCTCTTGTTCTGGGACCCACAAATATTAGAGGTTTTGGCCTTTTCTGTGCAAGGTAGTCAGTTCGATCACACGGTAATTCTACACTTCATACTGGTTGAAAATATGCTGGATTAGGCCCTCCTGTAATATTCTTCACAGTGGTGGTTGGGGGGCGGGGAGGGGGGCTCTTTCTTCCATTAACGGCACATTATAATTAGTGGTTGCCTACTTGGTTCTGCTTGGTTTTAACTTTAAAATGGGAAGAATGAGCACCCACATTCTTATTTCTTTATTCATTGTTAGTGCTATAGTTTATGCAGCAAGGGTGAACCAAGCCCAGAGGCATTTCTAGTTTGAGAGCCTGAAATCACAATCAAAGAGCTACCTGAAGTCTACACGAGTCCAATCACAGTAGCCATATAGTGCACAGTGCCACTCAGAATGGACCTGGAGGGGAAGAAAAGTCAGAAGTTTATGAGGCAAATCTGTAGAAACCACTTAAGAGATTCAAAAAGGGAAAGAGCTATCTGAATCAGACTGAGAAAGTTAAAGACCATTTTTACTTGGTAAGTTACTTTGGCTTTGGGGATACAAAGGTAATCAGGAAAAGATGGAGCCTTGGTGATTTAAGCATATGGAGTCCTGAGACATACATTCATTTTAGGTTTCTTTTTCCCCCCACAGTTTTGAAAAATTTATCCTCGCAATTGCTTTCTTGATGGAGACATGAATTATGCTTTCTGAATAGTGATGAGTACATTTAAAAGGTTCAGGGCTGAATGCATGAATACTCAGACAGTCAGCTTCTTCTTCCTAACTCATAATTCCAGCCTTCCCAACCATTAAAATCAAATGGGTAAGCTTGTAAGAATAGGTTTGCATAAAATATAGTCAAGACTTAAGTCCAATTTGGGTTAGGCCAGGTATATCACAAAATAGCATTATAAAAGAAAGGATCAAAGCAAAAGAGAAGCTCAAAATTATCTCAAGTTAATTAAGATCATTGGTTAGATTTTTTAAAAATAGGGCTGTTAGTCTCTAAAAAATAGCAGTTAATTTGATCTGCATGATATTCAGTATGATATAACTATTGTTCTGCTTTATTTCACTTATCTTTTCTCCCTTAAGCTTTATATGAAACAAAGAAAAACAAAGGTCAAAGAAAGTGAGAGATATCAATATTTTAAAAAATCAAACTAAGCTTTTAAACAAAGTTGATGTTCAATCCAAATCATCCTTACCTGTAAAAGACAATGAGTTCACCACATACTAACAATCTATGGGGGAAAAAGTGGAATGATCAACTGTAAACTGTCTCTTATTTTCTGTGGTGTGTGTGTGGTGTACATATCTCTATAATCACTTTTGTGTTTCCTTGTTTTCTTTCTCTGAGTAAACTCTTCAAGAAGGCAGGGACCCATCAATGCAATCAAAGGCATTATAAATTCTACTTCTTATCTTTGCACTAACATATTGTTTCCATTAATCACCAAGGGCCTCAACAATCTAACTAGACTTGAGTTCCATCTATACAAACTCCAGGTAACTAAATGTGGACAAATGGGTATTATTGTATGAGTTAAATGACTGACTCTAGTCAGAAAGAAAAGAGAAGTACTTGATTTACAGAACAGGGACAGAATTAAGTAGGCATTACACACTTCATGGAGTTTATTTGGTTTCATTATGCAGTATCTACAGTTAGTCACACAGGGAGAAAGGAATAAAAGGAGTGTGAGTTAGGTGTTTAAATTTGTTCAAGTATTACAGTAATGAGTTCCACAATTTACCCAAAAAAAAGTACAGTAAAATACCACTCTAATAGCGCAGCAAGCTCCATTAGTCACTGTGGGAAAAGCAAAGTGCTTTAATTCCTTCCAAACTGTCAAGAAGACAAGGAGGGATGGAGTGGTTGAAAGTGCCTTTGTGAAGGATGTTACTTTTAATCCATCTAGAAATAAAGGTGGTGCTGGGCTGGGGGGCTGGGGATATAAAAAAGAATTCTTTGTACATCATGTTACCCCTTTACCAACTGGAACGCTGTGTTAGTTTCCTGTGGCTGCTAGAACAAATTAGAACACATTTGGTGGCTTAAACCAACATATATTATTTTCTGATAGTTCTGGAGGCCAGAAGTCCGAAGTCCTTTTCACTGGGTTGAAATTGAGGTGCAAGCTGAGCTATGCTCC